TCAGAGCCTCACAGCAAGCCACAGAACAAGTCAGATCACTGGAGAAGGGAGGGCTTGGTCAGGGAATACTGTGGAAGGAATGAAGTCTGTTTGGGACAAACTGGATTAGTTTCCATTCAAATTGGTCTGTTTTCTATCCGAGTATCCCCTTCTTCCTCCCAGCTCTAGAGCATGTCTCCTTCTTCAGAGGGAGCAAGACTCTGGCCACGGGCTGCCACATCCCACCCAGGCCAGCAGCAAGCGGGCGGGCGGCTGGGCGTGCGCTGGGCCGGAGCGGCCACGCTGCCCCACGCTCAGGCACAGGCAGGCAGCGAGCAGGGCCCGAGAGAGGAGCGGGAATACGGGCTCCGGCTGGCGCTGCGCTCCCGTCACGCCAGGTCACCGCGGCAGATGCTGCGAGCATATGCCATGAATTAATTCCACTTTCCCTGAGACGCTCCGGCGAGAGGAACGGCAATGCCTTTCCAACTTATTAACATAGGAGCCCCCCCCACCTCCCATCACTTTGTCACACTTAATAAAACAGCCAGCCAGAGTCCCTCTAAGAGGCTCTTTAATGAAAAGCTGCTGGGCCTGGCTTTTTTTCAGCTTTTATTTTCTACATTTTTTTTCCAGTGCTGCGTATGCTGCCTCAGCCCAAATATCCCCCCACCACCAGCAAACTCCACTCTAGTAAGGCATCTCCACCAAGAAAGTCTATAAATACTGTATCTATTATTAAAAGCAAAACCAGAATGCTAAAACTGATAGTACCTAGAATTAATTTTTCCTTCGTGCATTTCTCTTACTTTAGCTGTGATGAGGCTCACCATTCACCCAGGTAGTCTATCGAATTCTGAGTCTGCAAGAGGCTATCTGAGGGTAGGTATTTACATCCATCCAGAACCCAGGCAAATCCCTTGGCAGACACCCCACATCAGCTCGCTGAGCTACACATGCTACTGACAACACACACTTCGATGGTTTGCAGCATTCCCTCAGCAATGTATGAAGAGAGCAGAACAAAGAGCAAGCAGGACACAAGGCTCGCTACATTGAATTGTCATCTTTGAATTGAAGATGGCAAACACTCACCAGGTATATGAAAGCCATGTTTGAATCGGGAACTTGAGGATCCTCATTTCTAACCCCGATTCTGACACAGATCTGTTATGTGGCCCTGAGCACACGACTGCACCTTGCTTTACCCCACTATGATACAAATCTGCGGAGACAGACAAGGGATTACTGCTCTACTCCTTGGCTAGGGACAGCCTGCAGTGCTGATCCAAGTTACTAGGAACCAGGTGCACTGCTCTGAAAACCGCTCTCACTTCTCACCTCACCTGATGATCAACCAGCACTACACCTTTGCAGGCTACAAGAAAAAATGTACACCTGACATTTCTTCTTTTGCACGCTCTAGCCACCAGACTTTTGAGAAATGCAGGTTCCCGAGGCAGCTTTGTCACAGCCAATACACACTGGTGCGTCACCACGAGCCAAGAGCCAGCCTGCAAAAGCACTGCATAGTTTCTTTTTAGCAAGGAGAGTAACAGGAGCGGGCTCTCCTCTGACAGCATCAGGACTTGAGACAAGAAAAGCAACAGGTCTCAGTCACCTTCCCAGCACTGCAACCAAGACACGAGTATGGAAGCAAGACGGGTGGGAACAGCTTGCTGGAAGGAGGCCAGAAGCCAGACGCTCACCTCCCCTCCTCCAGCTGGGGAAGGAATTGAAAAGACATGGAAACAAGTCTCAGTCTATTAAGTTTATTGAAGGAAATTAAAGAGACAACTTGATCACAGTGCACATAAATACTGAAGCAAGGAGAAAATATCTGACAGTATGGCTTAACTGGGAAGGTGAAAGCATAAGCAGACTCAGGGAACAGAAGATGAAACTCAAAAACTGAGTCTAGAAATAAAGCTGATTTTGAACTATAAGGGCAATTATCTATGAGAAAAACTAACCAGGGAAGACTTTCAAATATACTGTCAGCCTTTCTAAAAGATGGGCAAAGCTCAGCCACATCTCACTGGATTCTGCCATGGCCTCTATTAGAGCAGATCAGACTAAATGATCAAAGCCACCTCTTCCTGCCTTAAGATAGATGAGACTGTGAGTTTTTTCAAGCCCTGCTCTCCAACTCTGCCCAGGTATTTGCTGGGCTCCCAAGGTCCCAGAATGGGCACAGGCCTGGCCCACACACACTTGCTCCCAAGCAGAGCATCCCTGCCCAGGGCCCCAAGCCAGAGGGGGACAGCCAACAGCACCCATCCCCAAGCATGCACCTCTGGGAGATTTTATGCAGCTTTAGAGCACCTCCTCCAGCATAACCTGACCACAGCTCATCAGAAAAGGCCTGATTCAATGCCCACTATGCTCTTGGTGTGCCCTGTTCTCTCCTGGCTCTCCACCAGCACCTGTTCCGGCCTCACTCCCCTCCAAATTTTATGCATACTCTGTTATCAAATCATTCAACCTCCTTGCTCCTCTTGCCCCTACCCTGCCTCTCCCACAAACCCCAGTCTTGCTCCTGGCCCCCTCCTCCCCACGCTCTGCCTCAAATGTCCCTCCCCAAGCCCTCTCCCATTCCTACCCCTTACCATCTCCAGAAGGATCTCCAGGGTCCAATGTCCCTCTTTCTCTTCTTGCAAGAGGTACTTTCCTCTTCTTCTTGACTCCTGAGGGGGTCCTGTGGCCTCTCAGGGGCTGAGCATGACTGTATAGCCCAACTTCACTTCTCAGTCCCCCCTGCTGGGAGAACAGCCAGATAGAAGTGCTCTGCCTGCCGGCAAGCAGTTTATAGGAGCAGCTTTGGTTGGAGGCAGAAGATGGCTCTGCAAGCCTTCCTGCAGCCAGCTCAGGGTTGTTGGTGCAGCGCACAGCTGCTAGAGGAGCAATAGGCTTGGGATGACTTCTGCACGCAGCAACCAGTGGCTACAGTCCTAACTACTGCTTAGTTATCCACTCTTAATGCTCCATGTGGACAGCAATGCCATCTCTCCAAGCCCCTAAAGAAAACGCAACACATAATATGCCACATTTCACACACCACACCTCAGGCTGAGCAGCCAGAGATGCTGGATTCATAGTTCACCTACTCTTGTGCCTCAGGCCTATGAATCTTTGCTTTTGTGCTCACTGAAAACTGGTTGATTTGCATTGGGTGGCTGTGTGGTTTTACAAGCTGACCCAAAGGTCCTTTGCAACTGTGACTGAAGGGAGAAAGGTGGGCTCACCTCTCAGCCTCCCCTTCTCTCTCTGCTCGTGTTGGTTTCCTCCTCAATAAACTGCAGGCAAGTGCAGCATCATAGTAGGAAGACAGTTACTTTTCTGGTAGGGACATGGTGCAGAGACCAAAGTTTCAGTGGGAATACTGGTAGTCTGTTTTGGGCTGCTCCTGCAACAATCAAAGTTTGTCCTCTCATTCTCAGGGCACAGAAAGTTAAGTTCGCTTCATGCTTCAAAGAGGCTAGAGTCTCACTGGAAGCAGATACCACCAAAGAAGGTGATACCAGGCAAGCAGTTTATAGGAGCAGTGTGGATCAGAGCCTCAGATCAAGTAGAAGGGAGAGAACCCACACTAGATGGTCCTACAGTCTGCAGTCGAGAGGAGAGGGAATGCCTCTGCTTTCTCTGTGATCTTTGAGGGATGAACAGAGCAAATTCATGTCCCATGCCCTCCTCCATTTACCATTCTCTTCCTCTCAGAATGGCTTGTTGGGTTTGTCTGATTCACTAAACTATTTTAGTTTCCTGATTTTTTTTTTTTCCCCATGGAATGTAGGAAGCATTCTAAATTCTCTCTGGCCAAGAACCATAGGTGTCATAGAAAAATATATGCCAGCTCAGCTGGGAAGTTTCTGTTCATACCAAAAAAAGTTTGTCTGCTCAGAGAAAGACTTCAGGATTATCCTCCATACACTGGCCTCCCAAGTTTCTGTCTCACCTAGTTTTCTAGTTATAGGGGAGATTTCTTGGCTGTAAAAAACTTAGTGTCTCCTTCAGACAGATGAACCTCCCCTTATTTTGGTGGCCCCAGAATGAGCCCAATTGCTTCTCTCTTGTTGGTAGAATTGTTTGGCATATCAACTCCGATACAAAATTTTGCAGAGTACTGAATTCACAGTGAGTTATTTGACCCGTCCTGCTGTCAGTACAAGAGTGGGAATGCAGCACTCTATTAGACCATCCAAACAAGCTAAGAGAAGCAGCACAGCAAGCCTTCCTCCCAGCACCCTAGAAGTATACAGCAAGATTCTCCAAGGGGACAAGGCTTTGAACGACATTGGCTTAGAAGTAATGTCACTGTTTCTTGCAAATAATCACCATGGTTCTATGGGGACAAGGTATTAACAGCTAAATGGATTTTTCTTTAGATGACAATAAGAGTGGGTTACTTGGTCCCAAGGAGACACCCACCAGGGAGTTACCTTGTTTCAGAGCAGCAGGCTCCATTCTTTCACATGCATGGAATAAACAGTATTTTATTTGCAAACTACCTTTTGCCTGAAGCTATCTCTGTTCAAGCTGTGATCTCATCTGATTGCAAAAGCTAAGCAGGGTTAGGCCTGGTCAGAATTTAGCTGGCAGTTTAATAGGTGATGTTGCTTCCTCTGAGTCAATACAAAGGTATTGTTCCAGGAGAGAGGTTAAAATAGCAGGGGATGTCTGGAGACTGCTGGATGAAATGTAAAATGGATATCCTGACAACTTGTGGCATCTGTTGCGAGGAAGATGGTAAACTTGATGTCCTATGCAAACAAATTGTATCAGGCTAAGCTTCTCTGATAGCCATCAATAAAAAACACAATCCATTGTAAGATGGTCCACTTCAGAGAGGCTGCATTTCCATAGAAGAAAGATCAACCATTGCAGCTATCCGTAAAGGTGCTAGTGAGGTGGAGGTGACTGTTCATAAGTAAATATTTTATTGTATTTGGAGTTCTCAATCTCCTTTGCAAACAAAGATTCTTATTACAAAATACCCCAAACTTCTCTCAATCCAGTTTTCCTGTGAAGCAATGTCCTATTTATTTTCATGTCTGAAATAAATTCTCAAATACAAACAAGTTAATAGAAAATTAAAGCACTAAACTATTTACAGGTGATGCATGTGCGACATGTCTGGTGTGCCAGTGTTTTAGGGCAGACTGAGGTGGTCCTCTCTCTCAGACTGTCCCAGGTCCCACTCAGTCACCAGTTCTGAGGACACCTCTGTGAAGAGATGGTCCCAATCCCAGCTGACATCATCCTACCAAGAGGAAAAAGACAAACATGCTGAAATGTTACTGGTGACACTCAAAGGTCTCTGAACAATGCCAAATATTCAAGATGAGCAGCAAAGAGAGAAACTAAACGGCAACTACCCTGGCCAGAGAAGCCCTGGATTCGGTTGGCTAGAACAGGAATCCTAGCCAGAATGAAAGATGAATCCCTGCTACAATTTAAAGATGTTGACAGAATTATTCATGTTCCAAAGTTCTGTAAAGGACAGATTTTTTTGTACTTGTTAACCTTAGATACTCCCAAGCAGGGCGTAAAGAGAAGCCATAAAAAACTTTTACTTTCTGCACTTCTGCTGAAGCATGTGCAATTCTGAGCTGCAGAAATCCTTTGTTGCAAGTCCTGAGCTCCTGCCCACTCAGTCATATTGAGGTTGTTCTGTTCTGCTTTAAAAGTTCCCTCTGCCCATAACCCCAAATGCCTTCTGCTTTTGTCCCTCTGTACCTCCTTGTAGAACCACCTGGAGTTCATGGTAACTACCAAAAGATAATACACAACAGAGCACTGTTTCTGCAGGGATCATTGACAGTACTAGGCCCTTCACATTTTCCTTACTAGCTCTTTCATACTGAAGGGGACCAATCATGCCGATGCCATGATCTCACACATAGAAAGCTCTATATATCTTTAAAATAATCTGCTAGGGAAATCAAACCTCCAGCAGCTTGGACAAGCTCCTCCTCACCTCTCTCCTCCACCCCACCACCAAAGGCTTACTTTCCAAGTACAGTCTGAGACATGTAAGAAGCTTTAGTCTTGTCGGTGTTCCCACAAAAGAAAGACTCACCTCTCGTAGTTCATGCTCCGGAGCCAAAACTTTGGTGAGAAGCTTCAGGTCAACCTCTCCATCCTATGAACACACACATAGTCACAGTCTCACAGTCAGTGAGAAAGTGGACATCATCATTTCACAAGGTAGGTCTTGCCAGAGATAGGCACATTTGCCTCATAAGGGACATACACTTTGTCCAGGACAACAGAAGAAGCCTCATCTGAGCAGCAGATACCATACCCACATTATTTACAGACACAAACAAGCAGGAAAGCCACACTGCAGAGAGGAACAGACTTGCAGGCAGACTACAAGTTGTTTGGTCAATAGGGCTGTGTATTTTATGCAGCTGCGTGTCACAGTGGAGAATGATGGGAGCCTGGAAGGGAAGGGAGACGCATTGGTCACCTCATAGCAACATCCACTTACCAGAGTCTGAAAGGCAGCGTACTTCATTAGATCTTTGTCCAGGTCATGGTAGGTCAGCACTCGGTTCACCTGCACACTGCAACCAGAAAGGGTCAAAGTACAAGCCTGGGTAAAGGGGGAAGCACATCTGAGGAGAAGGGTGGCATGAACAGTAGTCTGGTGACACCTCTCTCAAGTGTCCACATTGCCCATGTTGGACTCTTGAGATGGATGTCCCCAGACAGAAGCACATCTCATTCAGCAAATGAATAGTCATTGACAAATCTGTGTGCCAGGTTGTGCATGTGCATAAAAATAGGATGTGGAGCAATCATGGACTCCCTCAGAGAAGCCAGCATGCCAGAGAGAAGCTCCAGACTAGCTGCAAGGACCAGAAAGAAAACAGGAACATAGTGAACATACACACAGCCCCAGCACCATAGGAAAGCAGACTGAGAGCCCCTCCATACAAGCTACAGAACTGTAGGGACTTTGTGATTCCCATGTCTGAGCTGAGTCACAGCTATCAAATACAATTTCTTAAAATGTAGCCTTCAAAGAGAAACATGGTGTAGGGAGGTAACAAACTGTCGTGCCACACTTCCCTTCATAGGTGATGCAATACTATAGAAAAGACCTATAATAATTTAATTCCTATTGGTGTTTGTCCATGAAAATCACTTGTCTTTTCTATTGCAGGGAGACTATGGATACAGGAGGAACAGATGGGATTATAAAAAACAGAGAAAACAAAGCATGAACTCTGGTGAGAGACAAAGTAATTTTAAATTTACTACTACAAATATTTCTCATTTAGGTTCCTGCTCCGGCAGGGGGGTTGGACTAGATGATCTTTCGAGGTCCCTTCCAATCCCCAACATTCTGTGATTCTGTGATAAAGTGTCATTTATTTTTGTTAACAGCTATTTAATTATAATAACTACTCCATACTTGTCAGAGAGGCATCTGTGGTCAGGAGTAAGATATCCCACCTTTCCACGTAAGGGTCAACAGAAATCACAGTCTGTGATCTTGGCAATAGGCCCAACAGAGAAAGAAGACTTTCCTGATATGTTTAAGATAAAATCCCCAGAACTTTCATTTCTTAAAACTTGCTGGTCTCCATTGAGCTAACCCCAAGACTAACCTGATAACACCTTCAAACAACAGGATTGTACATCACAAATTAAATAGGCACTTGAGTAAGAAGGATATCCTGTGGAGGGCAAACAGCCTATGACCATGCATAATCAAAGCGTGTGATAATGCATGTACTGGAGGCATTTGAGGCTACACACACAACCTTAAATCAAGCAATTCTCCACTTTTGAGAGTTTGATTTTGCAACACTTCATATGTTACTCTAATGTCAGGTTTTTTTATGCATAGAGAGAATATGCAGTAATTGCTTTTTCTGTGTAACAGGAAACAAGAAGTTTGCACTGTTCGTCTTAGAGCCTGGCTGCCACAATACACAGCACCAAATCCTGCTGAATGACACTGTTGCTGACATCCAGGGAGCATGAGATAAGATGGAGTTTAATTTCACCAGCCATTTCGCACTACTGAGAGCCTCAAGAGCACCTGGCAGTGCTCTTACCTGGGGGGAGCTGCCATTTGCATGGCCAGATCTTCTTCCTGGACTTCCTCCAAGTCAGGGATCACAGGAATGTCTGCAACAAAAGAAAGCAGCAACAGTAAGTGGGGAGTGCTGTGCTCTCCTCTCACTATCAACAAAGGTTCTCTTGCTTCACAGATATGAAACAGCTTGTTTCTTATTAGAGGAAAACACAAGAGAGTTATTTAACAATGATTAAAAATGTATTGTTTAATATTAAAACAAGGCAATAAAGCTTTGAAGCTTGGGGTCAAAAGAATTCTTGCAAGACAAGCAGATTTGGCTGGGTAAGACTCCACAGGCCATGGACCATACATTTGAACACAACCTTGAAGCTGAAGGAAGCCAGCTGCACTAAACCCTGCTGCCTACTTGCCCTCATCCCAAGACTTGCTTCTTATGAGGTGTGTTATTGTTTGCTAAGTTCAGCCACCAGTCACCTAGATTCTGTTAGAAATGAAATGTGGAGCAGAAACTGAGAGAAGCCATGTAAAACTACATGTTGAAGGAGCTGCTGGCAAGGTCTCAGCTGTGCAGAGGCCTGTGACCTTCCTGATAGCTGAGAAAGGAAGTGCTGATGGTTTAGCAGATACAAAGACTAGGGAAGATGCATCTATTTGTAATGTCATAAACCTTTTTGAGATTTCCAGTGTTAGCCTGGAATGGCTGATGTCTGGGTCACTGGGTATTCCCAGCACAAGGACTATGGCTACTCCACCTAAAAAGGATGCTAGAGACAAAAGAGTGGAGGAGAGGAGGAAGAACCAGGTGTACACTGAATCCTGCTAAAGGACCAAGGCTCTGAGAGCATTGCATGCTTTTTGATTTGACAAAGTGCTGTAAACAGAGAGAAAAAAAGGAGAGAGGAAAAGAAGGGAAAATAACTGGAGGTGTAAAGCAAGGACAGAGTACACTACCATAGAACTCATTTAAAGACTAAAGGCCAGAAAGGCTCTGCAGAGACCTTGAGCCCTCAGACCATGGAGAAGCTGGTGGTTTCGCCCTGGGAAAAGGTTTCACTTGCACAGTGTGTAGGCAGAGCTGGCCCTTTTGACACTGGAGTGAGCAGGCTGCTCCTGACTCTGTTGGCAGCGTGGCCAGGCTACTGCTGGACGGCAGCATGCGGCTGGGCCTGGCTTTGCCCCGTTCTGCAGCCCAGGCTGAGATGAATATTCAGGAGCTGGAGAGATGTTCCCTCCTATGGTGCTCAGGGCTCCGGGCAGGGTCTTCCTGGAAAGCTCCATGTCCAGCTGCCTGTCAGAGCTTCGCAGGCTCTCAGCTGCCCTCCCCTGCGATCGTCCACTGCGCGTCCCCCGTCTCACCGGCCGGCAGCCCTCACCCAGCTGTGGCAGGGCACAGGTCAGCCCTGGCCTCGGCATGGTGGCCGTTCAGAGCTGGCCACACAGTGGGATTTCTCACTAATTGGCTGCCTGGTGGAAGGCTGAGCAGGACAGGGGCTGCTGCAAGAACCTGGCCGCAGCAAGAGGCAGTGACAGCTTGGCCAGACTCAGCAGAGCTGTGCCCTCTAGCTCCCCAGCCACCCAAGGAGCAGGTGCCTGCAGAGCGGCTCTCCAACTACAGCAAACTTCCCAAAGACATTGAAAGGGAAACAGCAGCAACATGCCCCAGGCCACCCCTTAGAAGTAGGAGGCATGTGCAAGAAATGCCCCACCAGTGCATCACTGGGTATTTGGGGCAGATGTCTCCCCGCTCTGCTCGTAGGGACAATACACAGTAGAAGCTGCTATCCCACTGCTGCTTCCCTGCAGGGACTCCCAGCTCTTGGTAAAACTTGCAGCAAAATGCAATTATGGGTCAAAAGCATCTCCCTGGACAGGCAGACTGACCTGTTGAGGCAGCTAGTAAAACCTGCTCAGTGATAATGTGGGAGAAAGTCCCTGTATGTAAGCAACAAAGACCAAGGAGGGTACAGACTGGTGAGACTGGTCCAAGGGGAGGAATGAAGCACAGTGCAGAGGTGCCCTGTTAAGTCCAGGCAAAGAAGCATGGGCATGAGAAAGTGTAACCTCTCCGGAGCTAATTTATTCTTTTCAGCGGGAGACTATGAATGTTTCTCAGCAAACACAACTAAATGAAGAACTACCTGGGAACAGAGCTGCCCTCATCCATGGAGCAGCATTCCCTGTAGCAGGAGAAGGTCAGATCCTTAACCTCTTTTAACAGCAGAAATGTGACAGCAAACTGAATTTCCTCACTCAGTGCTCATTTTGGCAGCTATTTCTGGAGTACCCTCTTTCCATTTCCCTTTTGCTTTCGTTGATCTCTTTTTGCACTAGGAAAAAAACTGTAAACTTAGGGCCTGGATCAGTGATATCTCTTCCATTTTGCAGGTTCCTGAAGACTCCTGGATTTTGCAGTGCCATTGAATTCCATGGAGAGATTTTCAAATCCCTTGCAGAGTGCTACCTCTACTCCGTACTAGAAAAATCCAGGCAATCACGTAGAAATTCTTTCCAAAAGAAATTCAAGGCTCCAATATTTTATAGACACTTTGAAAACATTTCAGACAGAAGAGCTGGAAACGCTCTGGGGGCTGCTGCCAGCCCCTCCAACAAAGGCCAGTACATGCTTGTTCTTACTGCAAAGTGCAGATGATTTGTCCATTTCTAGGCAGAAGCAATGCCCTTTAGGACTGTCAGAGACTGACAAGAAACAGAACAAAAATGTCACAAATTATAAGAAAATATCAGCTCCCCAGGCTAACTACTATCAGTGGCAAATCAGCTCTGAAATATTTGGGTCTTTATTTCACTTGTTACTCATAATTTCCTCTTCCCTCTGCCAAATCCCATGGTGCCACTTCTCCACAATTTCTCTCCCTTCTCTCCGTACAGTTTGCAAAGTATCTCAGTTCTCACTTTATCACCAAGGAGCCAACCCTTCCCCTCACTCAGTCTCCAGCCCCCCAGCTGTTTTTGTTGCTCTTCTTAGGACTCACATCTTTTTTCCCAGTTAGCTCTGGTAACACAGCCAAGTCATGGCACTGTGTCAACTGCAGAGGGAAGAAGCACATGGGCTGTTGTGCTGTAAGAGTACAGGCATATGCTCTACTTTTAAATATTCCCACTAGCTACAGTGAGGCTACTTACACGTAACATTAGTACACGCAGAAATGTTTGCAGGACCACAGCCTCCCAGTCTTGCACTGCAGCTTTTTCCAACGACAAGGTTACGTTACAAACCCCCACTGTGTGCTTTGCTCTGTGACCCCTATTTTTCCCTTCCTTTTCAGTTTGGGGGCTTCAGATCATTTTCCATAACCCTGTTTTCGGTGCAGAATCCTGACTGTCTGACTTACCTGACATACTTGACTGTCCAGGCTGTCATGCCTGAATTCAGTGCCCATGTAGGTAAAGCTTAAAAAGCATTTCACAATGTACCCACATGCTAAGAAGCTGCCTGTGTGCAAAAGAAAACACCTTCACAGATACCTGGTCACTGCAATGAAGTGAACAAATGGTCTGTGCATTACAAAAAGAAAATGTTTTGCAGCTGAGAAGAAGGGGTGGGTTCAAAACCTGGAAACAAAAAATAATTCTGTGCAATCTATTTATAGGTTTTGGGGGGATTTTCTTGCATAACTCAGCTGCATTTTGAAGGAGAGAGCAGCTTCCATATTGTCTTTAATATCAACAAATTTTAATCAAAACTGTAGGCAAATCTCAGAAGCAACATAAAAATGTTACAGCTTCACCTGTTCTCCCACTTTCACATCCTCTCCTGCAGACTTTGAAATCAGAACAAACTGATACAATACTAATAGTAAAAAACATTAAAATAGAAGTTGAGTTACTGGTAAAAAAACATTAAAAAGGGGTACAAATTGCTTACAAACCATCTTACCAACCTTGGTCTCCCAGATGGACTCGGAGCACTGTGCTGCAAGACAGTTACCTATGTCACCTCCCTCATCCACTCTCCCCTAGACAGAACTCCTCTGAATCTCAGTTTCATATGGCAGGTAACATTCCCAGAGTGAGTGCTCCTAAAAATAACACTCACTCTGCCCCTGAGAGAGAGTATCCTGCTTTCATTTTAGCTGAAGGGAGGGGCAAATAAGTAAACGCACATCAGGTAGCGTTTTACAAGCAGAAGAAATGAGTATACGCAACAGAAGATGGAGCGAGGAACATAAAAACTCAATGCATGCAGTGATCTTAAAGAGGAATAGATGAGGCCTCTCTTTATGACTAAAAATGGCTGTGAACAGAGTAACACAAAGCCCTTCTCCATGGATTTCTCAGCCCATAAAGAAACAAGATACAGAAACTGCTTATGGCAGACATGTGAAATGCTGACTGAGCACCAAATGCTAGATGCCAAAAGCAAACTCTGCTCCATCTCCCAGATGATGGAGAACAAGAGCAAATCAAGAATGAAACCAAAATGAGCATACCCATGCAGAAGTTGCGGTGGGGTAGGAGACACCAGTACCAAACGCTGGCTAACAAGGGAGTTATAATATACTGCACCAAACTGACGGTCTCAGAACAAATAAGTTCCAGCATATAAGTAAGAATAGTATTTTATTACAACAGCTGCACTGAGATAGGTCTTACACAAACAGAACTTCATGGCTAAGTTATGGCAAGACACCAGTAACACAAGACAGAAGTGTGTGGATGGCAGGAGGAAAAGAGTGAGGGGAAAGACTGAGGGTGCAGAGAGTCAAACAATAAACAGGGAACAGCAGCTTTTTAAGTCATAAACAAAGGGCTTTACATGTTCATATTAAAGTACATGCAGTAACCATCACCTTTTCTACATCTTAGCAAATGACTTACTGACAGTTGAGGAAGACAACCACAGGAAGCAACAAGCAGGAGATAGAAGAACCTACACCACCTTAATATCCAGTTGATCCTGCAAGCTGGTGAGTTGCACTTCCTCCCCCAGGTAGAGCTGATTTTTGGTTTAGTGGCAACACCTGCAAGCTGGGTCCCTTAAAATCCTGCAAGCTTACAGTAAGATCTGGTCCTAGCCCCAAAGAACTAAGCTCTCTGTTAGAGATAAGACAGCATATAAGTGGGGACA